CTTTCTCAGATAATAACAGAAAAGAACTCTGTTCCTCTGAATCTTGAGCATTTGGAACCAAGCAAACCGGTGCTAAAAAAACACCACTGTAATGGGTTTGCATGTACAATGGGCTGAATTCAATCCTCAGTATTATATTGCTAGCTGAAAGATAGGTAACACAGTTTAGATGGCCACTGTAGTAGGTAAAAGTTGTGAAATACTGGTATAATAACTTTATTAATTAATTGATTGGTCTACTCCAGAGACCCTCTGAACTTGATGTAGAAAACTGCACTTCTTGTTAATCTGAAGATGGCCAACACAGACCACAGCTATCATTTTTCCCAGAATGGAATTTAATTTCAAATTCATTGATTTACTAAGTGTGAAGTCTAATGAACTTCAGCCTTTAGAAAATGGGATGTCCTTTTGCTTTGCATTGTATGGTATCTTTTTGATTGTGTTAAAGGAAATGGGAAATTTAAATATTTTCCCAATGTTTAAATCAGTTCTGGATTTTGATTAACTGGACATGATTTCATGCTACGGTTATGTAATTGTTTCAAGAACCTGCAAGATAACTCCTTTGCTTTTTTATAAAATGATCAAATGTTTTTTAAGAATATTGGATGCTTAGATCATAACAGGGTGGAAATCTGATCAGAAAAATAAGGGAGGACTGAAGCATGAGAGTTCATGGCAAATATTAAAGGTCATAGGGAGCAAATAGAAGATTGTTCTGAAAATTGGTTGGTTCTTCATTTCCTTTAAGGTCCCAAATTAATTATTTTAAATTAAAATATGGGAACATGACTTCTGCATATGAGTAGCTGCTTTGAGGTTTTGTGCAGCATCAATCGTATTTACAACTTTTTATCACGGTGACATTGTTCCATTCTATATATTTAAAAATGTATCTCATGACATCTTCATGCATTACAGATTAAGAAGGAGTAGCAAGTTTGAAATGCCTATAAACACTATTTTGTTGTCTGTAGAACTGCCAAGGACTCAGAGCAAGTTCTGCTAATACATAGGTATGAAAAAAAAGATGTTATGTAGCTGACACAGATTTAACGGTTGGGCAATTAGTACATGAAGCGGTTCTACAAGTCTCAACATTAAATTGGGTGGGTGCATCTGCTGTGTCTCTACAGGAAAAGAATGAAACACGAGTAAAATGCAGACCATCTGGATCAATGTTGTTGGTGCACTTTAGCCTACAAAATTCATTATTATATCATATTTTTCTTAAATTAAGATAAATTAATGTTAGTTTTGGCCTGTGCTAGATAAACCTATTTCCTTTATCTCTGTGATCATGAAGTGTGATCAGTTTCTGCATATAATAAAATTCAGCATCAAACTATTGAAAGTACAGGGCTACTTCCAATGTAAGTGGATTTCTGCTCTTGCAGGGAATTTCTTTTCCTATCTTCCTTGCCTGCTCAGATGTGTTCTGCCAAATTGCTACGCCATCAGACTATTTTTTGAAATGGAGAGGGAATCCATTCTCTTAGCAGATGCCACTTTTCTGATGGATGAATAGTATTGGACATTACTAATAACTAAGCTTCTCTGATAGTAGTTGAGATTGTATTTTCCAGCTATTTCTCAGAGGATCTGTTGGTATTGAGCAGCTTTGTGAAATCCAGAGATTAGAAGCTAGGAATGCACAAAATATTTCAGTCTCAAAACAGCTGTTTTGAGTGTTCTGAGCAAGAAATAAATAGGTACATTTTGAGAGTTATGAGGATGGAATAAAACACACAATTCTGAATAAGAAACAACGTGCCTGGTTTCCAAAATCCTGAATGGACTGTTGTTTTGTGACTTATGATTGAGTTGCTTCCAGTCATGGCCCTCTTGCTATTGGCTTAGACTACTTAGAGTAATCTGAAAAGAAAAGTTAAGCATATTTAAAATATACCCCGTATTTGTGATGAACTGCAGATTTTCTGAATCCTGTCAAATATACCTTTGCTTTGCTAATGGATGAAATTACCAACTTCATAGTAAAGAAAGCAAAACATTTTATTACCATGTACAAAAAGCAGAAACTTATTTAGAGAAAAATAGCAAATGAATAAGCAAGTACTGTAATTAAAAATGGCAGGAAACTTGTATACTGCTATGATTAATAGAATATTCAGCCATTAAAAAGTAAGGTTATAGTTGTATGTGCATAATTAGAGTGAATCCTTAAACTAATAGTATGCAGAGGAGCTGGACTCAAATATTCACAGTAAACGTAATGAGTATCAGCTATCCTGCACCCTTTTCTTTTTTATTTAAATCATATTATAAATATTCATATTTGTATAACTTATTTATTTCTCTAAATAACTTCCAAAAATCCACAGTTTTGGACTTTACAATTTTAAGTTGAATGTTATAGCCTTCATAAAATGGAAAATTTACATTGATTGAAAATAAGCGTTATTGATGTGGTAATTATTTCTATGAATGATCTGTATTTTCAGACATGTGTCAGTGCAGTAGAATGAGGAACTGGAGTTCGTCAGGGTCAGCTTATTCAAATCAGGAGTTTTAAATTCAACAACAAAAATATTAAGTTTCCCATTGGTATTTTATTTATTTCCTAAATAATGGTACAATTCTAACAAGCAAGGCAGGCCACAGCATATAAATAGAGAGCAAACCCCATCCCATTTTAGCACTGAAGA